GGATTATATAGGGGGATGCTAGGAGTTTAGATTATAGCTCATATAACTTATAACCCTAATATAACCCCAATATAACGGGTTCTGGGGCTTCCAAAAGAAAATTGGGGTCCCATCTTGGTACCCCCTAAATATTGGGTGGGTGTCGTAGCACAGTCTATAACCAAAAGGGGTCATGATTTGGAGAACAACCCATGTGTGTGTGGTTGCCATGTCAAACATTTGAACTGCCGTGCTCAGCTGTTCGCAATGCGGTGGACGCATACAGCTGATGTTCGTTTTCTGCGCAGCGCTCGGAAAGGGCATCATCTGCGAGACTCATCGAGGGTCGCACTTGGGCGAGACTGTGTCAGATGAGCTACTGTCTAAACTCCTAGTATCCCCCTTAATAACCCCTATAGTGGACCCCTATATAATCCCCTATATAACCCCCTTTAAGGAGTTTAGACTATAGCTTAGATACTGAACCCTGAGGTCCAAGCTGTGGTCAGGCTCTTGACTTCAGCTGTCTTGCCGGATCCCTGGCTGCCAGACACATGGCGGGTTGCTACAAATGTTGGGTGGCTCTTGCTTGGGTTGATGGGGGGAAGATCGCTGCATGACGGCTGTGCCTGAGGCTTGAGATCAGCCAAGGGCGTGCAGAGGATTGGAGGTTTCGCACAGGACAGTCGGATGCCCGCAAGAAAAACGCGGGAGGTCGCGGGAGTCTGTGGCAGACGACATTTTTTAACAATGATCTCTTCCATGGCGAGTCTAATTTATGAAATTAGGTAGACTTGATTGCTGCACGCGCAGAATTTTACAGCAATGGATGTCTCGTGAGAGTGTTTCCTGCAAACTTGTAATTAGATCCAAGATATGTTGAGCAGGCTTTCCTGGCTCGCCAAGAAACTTGTGTCCGCTTGGCACTTGTAATTCGTTTTGCACAGCCAGCCAGTCAACCTCGCTGGAACTGGATGGCCCACTGCAAATTTTCAATGCATGCTGCAGGGGAGGGGAGATGCGTGAGGCGTCTCTCCTCTTTGCCCTGGCTCCTTAAACCCTAAACCCTAAACCCGTGCTGGCAAGTGCAAGCACGTAGAGAGCTTGCGTAAGGTGAGCCAAAGCTGCATGATGCAGCAGGGATATAGTCCCTCTTTAAGTAGATAGAATATGGCTTTGGGGTACATTATAATAAGATCGCCATATACCTGGGATAAGCCATATTCTATCTACTCAAAGGGGGACTCTAGGCCAAGGTCCTCCGGCATCTTTGCCACTGAGCACAGAGGCTTTGGACTGAGACCGAGGTTTCCGCTTTGTAAATAGGTGGCTCATCCGGGCTGGCTGGATTGCTGGCCTGGACTTGCGCAAGAGCTTCTGGGTGCCCACCTGCTACTTTTGCAAATTGAGATGGAACCAAAAGGGGTACCTTAATAGTTTCCATTTTCTTTTCCATCATCCCCATGTAAACCCCTATATACCATAGTAGCTTCCATTTTATTTTCCATGATCCCAGTGTGCACAACAACGGTGGCACCCCCCTCAAATTGTCCTAGCTCGCATGTGCGAGGCGTCACGTTCGTGCCGCGAGTTGTAATGTGGCACGCCGAACTGCCCGGAATGCCCTTTCAGATCCTGCCAGCATCTCTAAGACACAGAGAGTCCCATGACTAGGAACTGGGGTGTGGGTGCCGGGTGTAAGGCATCAAAGGCTGGCGAGGGAGAGAGCATGGGCGCATCGAGAGTCTTTGAGGTCCGACTCTCAGCGTTTCCTGCGTGCTGAAGCCGGTGGTCTCGAGCCTGGGGTGTCTTCAATGGCTGTCTAATCTCTAAGCCGACCCTGTCCTGCATCGGTCTGAGATGCTTGTTTGTGTTTCAAGCAGAATGAGATATCCCTACCTTGCGTCCAGTTCCTACTTTGTTGGAGCACGGGCTGGCTAGCGCAAAAAGGTGCTGCCACACAAAGCAGCTGCTTCTTGCCGTGTGGCGAGTCAAGTACATCTGGCTGCAGTAGGACAGCAGCATTGTGCCTCCCGTGCGAGCCGTTTCAAGTGCTTCCTGCCTTTGTTGCCTCGAGCTTGTGCCTTGTGGCTTCGAAAGGCCTTCCCCGCTCTACTCGTTTGCTGCTGTCTTGTTGTCCTAAGGCACTTGGCACTTGTCAGGACAGGGACCCATCGAATCAGATGATGGCGACTTCAAGTGGCTGTGACTTGTTGAAATTGATGGTACACGCTGACGCGCCTCAGCATGGTGACCTGACAACACGCGGGGCCTGTTGGTGCATCCACGAGACAGAGGGGAAGGGCAGGTGAAAGAAGATTGCAAGATGTTCCAAACGCTTTGAGGCAAGTGTCCTCTACCTTTTCTACCCATTATGGAATATGTGGCGCTTGCACAAGCCGCATAGAGAGTTTGGACCGCATGTGGACAAGCTGCATAAGTAATTACTGATGCTGACATGGAAGCCAGCTTTTGTGCTTGCTTTTAGCGAGCACGAGTCTTAGGTGATTCCCCGCGGTCACCGCAAAGCCCAGGGCATTACGCCGCCGGATTTGCAATGGGTCTCACTGGGTACCACTTGCATGGCTTGTGTGTTTTGTTAGATTTCGCGACTTGGTTCTTATGAGAATGCTTGGCAAGATTCTTGGCTCTTCAATCTATGGAGCCAGGTCAATGCACGGGAACGTTGCCTGAAGCTCAAGATTCTTTGTCTGCGGTTTCTCATGCGATTGACACAAGCCGTTGAAATGCATTCTCCCTAGTTTGGCTCGCCTCGTGGCGGTTACGCAGACAGGCCTCGTAGCTGGCAGTTATGCTGTGACTGGGTTGCTGTCGAAGAGCCTGACTCTGGTGTCCGTTACAGGTAAACCATATATAACCATATCATTTGCATATCCATACTGGTAACTTAGCTCAAGTTCCTTCAACAGAAGCCCAGTTGATTTCTGTTTGTTCCATGCGAATCTGACCCCGTTGCGCAGGCGATGCATCACCATTGATATGGACGCAGGGACTGGTTTGCACCGAGGCGCTGGCTCGTAAAACCTCAGCAAAACTGGGGCAATGGCAAGATTGGCAAGTCTGCATCCTCTGATTTGATTGTGCTGCAGCAGTTGCTAATTTTTGCGTGTTGCCTTGCAATGCTGTGTGGGAAGTGGTTTCAGAACCTTGATGCCTTGGTGGACAGGTCGTAGCCCATCTCCCTCTCCTGCAAGTCCAGGGACAAAGCGGCTCGCTCAACGGCATTTGTTGCAACAACTTGCGTCTCCACAGCCCTCTGCAACCAACACCGCGAAGAATATCAGAGCAGAAGCTGGCATCACAATGCCTTTTTCAGACATGTCTTCACATCGTCATCTAAGGTTCGAGAGACTGCGTTCACTGCAGGCCTGGCACGATAGTGATATACGATGATGTTTTGTTAGATGTAATATAGTAGTTTCCATTTTCTTTTCCATTTTCCCTATATAACCCCAATATATACCCTGATATAATATAGTAGTCTCCATTTTCTTCTCCATTATACCTATATAACCCCGGCCTGGGATCTGAGTGTGAACAATCGACAAATTCGACAAGCCAGCGCGAGCAGCTTCCTGGCCTCGTCGAGGCCCTGGACCAGCCCTACTTGGATTTTTCGTTGGACGTGGTCCCAGCACGAAGGCGTTGGCTTTACAATTTTGGAGCTTGATCGAAGTGCAGGTGTATGTATTCAGAAAACCAGAGTTGGCAGTCATGTCAGACAAGGCACTCACCGGCTCCAGTCAGACATGATCCACGAAACGAGATTCTCCAAGCTCTTGATGCCCATGAGCGTGGGCCTTGTCGGGTAGTTTACTGGCTCTTAATGTCTAAGTAGGCTGACCGATCACCGACAGTTGTTGTGAAGAAGGCTTCTACACTCCGATGAAGACTTTGACACAACAGGAAAGTAGCACGATTGTTTCGGCATGGTCCGATCTGCTAGGCATATTCATACCATGTATCACAAGCCGCGAACTTCTATTTCCAAATCTTGGTGCCCAACGAGGCACACTGCAATTCTTGGCCGACGTGTCCGGGTCTCGGCATGGGTGGGAACAGGCTTCAGTGGGACTCAGGGGTATACATTGGGGCTATATAGGGATAATGGAAAATCAAATGGAAACTACTAGGGTTTATAGGGATTCTATAGGGTATATTATGGTTCAGTTCAGGGCAGCCTGCGAAAGCGTGAGCCATCAGACTCTACTCCTCGAGCTTTGAGTAGCATGGCAAGCAAGGCGCCGCTTCCTCGCCAACAGAGAGGCCGCTGAATCATGTTGACTTGTGCGTGGGCAGGGGATCCGAATTGCCGAAGCAAGACATTGTCCGAAATCCTAAACATTTGCTGATGAGAACTGATGACAGCAAGCAGCGACTGTTTAAGATCAGGGACAACAACTGAACTCTTTTCGGGAAATTGGGTTTCCTCACAGCAGGCGAGGAGCTGGGATCCTTGTCTCCGCGGAAGCCGCCTGTTCCCTGCCACGCGCCTGGCAACTTCATGGAGTGTGCTTGTTCTTGGACCGCTCGTATTCAGCCTGTGCAGGGCAAAACAATGCAGGCTCCAGACCATGATCATCAGCAGAGTTTAAACCATGCTCTTGTGAGAAGCCACCCGAACTCCGCTTCAAGATAGGAGTTTTGAATGGCTCCTTAGCGTAATTAAGCTTTGCTTAAAGCATAGCTAAGGCTTTTCAGGACGTGACAGCCAGTGAGCCGCGCAGCTGCTGCTAAGTTTTCATGCTGAGATGTCTGCGGGAACATGCTCAGCGGCGTCTGTAGGTACGAGGAAGATGCAGTGAAGACTGTTCGCAGCGGCAAACTCGCCACGGGCCCAGTGAAGTCAAACCTTCCGCTTGTAAGACCATCAGCGGCAAACAGCAGCGGCAGCTGTGGGAGTGGCCGAAATAGCAGCAGTTGCTGCATCAGTGAGTAGGACTGTAGAAATGGTAGCGGCAGTAGTAGCTGTAGCACTTGCTGTAGCAGCAGCAGCAGCAGCAGACGCAGTAGCAGTGGCAGCCGCGGAGCAGCAGCGGCAGCATCACGCCACGCGCACAAGAAATGGCTGCAGACGCGGATGCAGGGGCGCGAGAAGCTCGAATCTCAATCTGCTGGCCAGCCTGAGGCTGGGAAGGGTGATCCGAAGAAAGCCATGGACAGGAGCATCCGTCGTTCTGAGCCCAGAATCGAACCTACTTCCTGTCGAAGCAGTGCTGGAATTTCTGCAGGCTTGGACACAGCCGCATCAAAATTGGAAAAGGTCGCCAAGGCAAGGGAAGAATTGCATCAAGAACTTCATTGAGCTGCATTAGCATGAGGCGTGTAAGATTTAGCGTTTATGGGAGAGCGTGTTCTCATGCGTTGAACAGGCTCTGGTGGAAGAGGCACAGAGACAGCTACGGACCTATCCAGCATGCTGCATGCATGTGACTGGTGTGCGTGCGAACTGGGGGCCACGATTGGGTTTGCATGATAAGGTCCTTGAAGAGAGTTGGATGAACTGAAAATGCCTGAAGCTCAGAGTGATGCCTGGAAGGTCAAGTTGAATGACCTAAAGCAGAAGAGCGTTCGATGCGCTCTGGCCAGGAATTCCTTGACATGCAGGTCGCTTAAGGCTGCTTGCGGGACAAGCTTTTCTGTTTCTGTATTTGTGATGGAACCTTCCTCTCGATGCCAAGTATTACACAGCAGATCATAGGATACCTGCCCACAGGCGCCTGCTTACCAAGTAGAAGAGTCTCAGCCGACGCCTCAATGGAACAGGATTCCGGGACGAGATCATGTCGAGGGTGCCCTCAGATCCTCAGGCTAGGAAAAAATCTCAGGATAGGAAGCGTAATCGTGAGTCCACGCACCCCTCGGGGAAGTTCCCCTCTGGCTTAGCAAAAGCTCCTCGGAGCCATGGCAAATAGTAGTTTCCCTACATAGAGGGACTCCAATGTAGACCCCAAGATGTTATAATCATGATCATTGGGACCCTCATAAAGGCACCCCTAGTTTTGGGAACCCGCCGCACTTTTCCCGATAGCCGGCTGCCTGTGCTCCTCAAGGTTTTGACCTGGCTCTTGTCTTTGAGGCGTTGCTATGAGTGCGTCGATGAGGTTCTTTGCCGGCTTCCTACTTCTAGGCATGCTGGGCAGCAAAGATCGCATGCGAAAGTTGTGCATGCTTTACTTACTTGCCCGCATGACCAAGGACCTTGTCGCAGTAGCCTTCTCCCAGAATTATTTGGGCACTGAGCTGCTTCCCACTGGACTTTTGCGAGGGAATTGCTCGGAAGCTGAAAAATGCCCACAGAATGCTATAATCCCGACCCAAAAAGGGACAAACATCATGCTTTGCTCCGCTCCAGTGCGCTTAGCCCTGATCGCTGTAGTTGCAAGGCCCTGATGTGGAGAAATTTCAAGGGCCGTACGGCTGGGACTTTGCAAATATAACCTTCTCTTGAAAATGGCATCTCAGCACATCGGGGCCTTAGGTGCCGTCAACGGCAGATAATTAGTGACTAGTGCGCGCTAGCCGCCAGTGTAGCCGTTACCGCGCAGATGAAAACGTGCTTGTGCTTCAGGCTGCGTGTGATTTTACGTTTTTTCTTTTCAAATTTGTGAACATGCAGTAGAACGCAGCCAACACACAGCAGCCAAGCATGTGCTCAGACAATTAAAGATGGCACGAAGAGGCGTAAACTTCATGTAGAGTCATTAGCTAGCTTACTATTGTGGCCTGTGTTTGGTTTGATTTGCTACAGGCACATACTCCAGAGCAAAAAAGGTGACATGTTACATGAAGTCCCGCCGCGAGTAGGGCCACCCAACCTCATCCATGCGGGGGCTCAGATTGCTTCCCAGAGGCAGGTCGTATTTCTCTAAACACGCGGTAGGATTGTATAATAATAGGGTATAATGATCTGGTATAATGATTTAGTCTAATATAGTATATTGTATTACTTCATATCACTTCCTGGGTGCTAATTAGCTTGATGTCGCTGCTTGCTCCTTCATTGCAGGCCGCGTGCGGCTTTTACTGTCGCCTGCGAGGACTCCTGAGCCGGGGTCATGCCCGATGAGTAGGATTTTCTGCTAGGAGTTAGGTAAGGGGAGGATTAGGGTTTAGGGTTTAGGAGGATTAACGTATTCTTCCCTAGTGATCTCCATTTTCAGTGAAGAGCAACTTGTGGAACCTCGGTTGCCTATCCAGCACGTGTGATGAATTGTAGATAATTACATTGGGATAATGGAAAAGAAAATGGAAACTACTGTATAGTATATTGGGGAAATATTGGGATAATGGAAAAGAAAATGGAAACTACTATATAGTATATTGGGGATATATTGGGATAATGGAAAAGAAAATGGACACTACTATATTAAGAGACACTTCCAGTCAATATTCAGAGGTTTGTGAACATAGAACGCCCTTAGAGCCAAAACATCTGCTATCCTTCAAGCTACCACGCTACGCCCCAAAGAGCTTTTGGTTGTTGATTTTGTTTAGGGTCTGCGGCGATCACGTGGCCCAATGCGCTTCGCACACGAACACATTTTGATTCAGCCATGTGGGTTGTTCTCGAAATTATGGGCCTGTTTTGGTCATAGATTCTATTATGGCACCTTACATGATGGCAGGACGCCAGCGATCCGTCCCCATGAGGCTCTGTGTTGGCACCGCAGCCCAGCATTGTTAGGGCCTAAGATGAGCCTGTCGACTCTACGACTCCACAACTTCTAGAGCACAAAGTTCCCCTCAAGTAGACGGAATATGGCTTGGGGCATTTTATAACAAGATCCCCACATACCCCATGTTCTATATACTTAAGGGGGACTACATTCAAGCTACGATTCTTTTTGGTTAGGCTTGGCCGAGCGAAAAGCTCGGAGTCGAAGCAGGGGACCTACAGAGGGCAGATCTTGGCAGGACATTCCCAGGGTATTGTATATAGGGATTATATAGGGGATAACGGAAAAGAACATGGAAACTATTATAGTAGGGTAATTATTAGGGAAATATTGGGATTATATAGGGGATAATGGAAAAGAATATGGGAACTACTATAGTAGGGTATATATTAGGTATATATTGGGGTTATATAGGGGATAGTGGAAAAGAATATGGAAACTACTATAGTATATTAGGGGCTTAGGGTTTTGAAGGCTTGACGCAGCCTGCCCTTGGACAAGGCCTGAGCAATCCACATCAACATCCACATCTCATCACAACCTGCGTGACCTCTACGAGGTTCCCTCGTCAGCATGAGGAAGTCAGCGGTGCTTTGTAGGGGCAGCAGTGTTCGGATGGCACTTTCACCTTACCAGTAGGCCCTGTTGTCATTGCGGGCTCCACTCAGGGGTCCACTCGACAGATGCACCTGCAGATGGAGAGACTCTCACAGGCTTCAGCTGTTTGAAGATTAATTTGGCTGCCTTTGCTGTCCATGAGCTTCAATCAGATGACCCGAAACGTTCAACTTTCTTACAGAGTGATGATCGTCAGCCGCATGCTTAGATGAGCTGACCTGTTCTCTTTGGGTGTCTTGTACAAGCAAACCTGGAACAAGGTGGTGGTGCTTTGGCTCTTGGCATAGGCTACGTCGTCATCAACTGGTCAGCGCCTTGTTTTCTTTGTCAAAGTGTTGTGCCCCAGATTGTACGGGCAATCTTGAGGACGATTCTACGCTCACATGTCTCGCAGGAGTCAGCGGAGGCAAGCTTCTGCATGACCTCATATGACCTGATTGTTGAAGAGCGCATTCAAAGCTAAGCGGAGGTGGTCTCGCAGACCATGCGGGACGCGCAGGTGCAGTTCACAGCTTCGCAGTTCTCGAAGGAGAAAGCCTTAGATGCAAGACTTCTACCAAAGATGCTCAGCTGGAAGGGAGTGTGCGATGCTTGCCATGAGGAGCTCCTCAACCAGTTGCTGCATGATGAAGAGATCGCCAAAACTGTGGCGTCCTGGACTTCTCCCTTTCAAGCTTGTGGTTGGGTAGTGGTGTATAGACCTGTGTTTGGCTGTTTCTTGAATCCTGCATTTGTGGATACAGAAGATGTGCGGATGTTTGGGCATGCGCTGGGGTCTTTCCTGCTGCCGGGCAGATCACAATGCTTTCGCCAGAAACAGGCACAAAACTAATAAGTAACAATGGTTGCAACAATGTCTACGGCCTATGGTGAAAGAAGAATGGCAAGAGTTGCTGCGCAAGCATGCATGGCAACAGACGAGGAAGAAGAAGACAATCGAACCATGGTCTGATATTTATAGCAGAGCCGATGGATTGGTGTTGTCCTGTCTCAGAAGACTGCTGCTGGCGCAGGACTCTGCGGCTTCTGGCCTCTATCCAGGAAGAGATCGGAGCCCTCTTCGTGCACATCCTTCAACAGGACCAGGCCGGCTTAAAAACTTGTCAGGATGACCTGCACAAACTGATCAAAAGTCTGGATGTGCGGAAGGTTGTGGATGAAGTCAACCGGCTGGCAGACAAGCTCGTGGCATATCTCTGCGCCAGCGAGTCCATACAGGACCCGGCATTTCCATTTCAGGTGCCTTTTCGTGACCTGTGCTGTGCGCCTTTTCGGCACGTGCCTAATTACAGCTTGGTGTCGATTTGCTGGCTTGTTGTGAGTTTCTGAGCTGGGACTCGACAGCTGTAGCGCCATGGACAGCTTTGGCGCGCCGCTGCTTCCCTTGGCAGAGACGCGAGAAAGCAGAGCTCCCGTGGTGCAGGTGCATGGTGAAGTCATGTTGCCATGAAGTAATCAGAGCCTGTTGGGGACCAAAAGTTGTTGTTAGGCTTCTGCGTTGACAGGCTGGATCAAGTGAGAGGGGAGGGTGCGCATACTAAGCTGGGATACATAGGGCATAGGGTAAATGGTGTTCGTTCGCTTTTCTTGATTTTTCTCCAATTCATCGGTATGCTGCAAGACGTGGCGCACTAAAAATCCGGAAGCCAAAGCAGAAGAGTCTCAAACAAACTCCAATTCTGAGCTGCCCGTTTGCCTTGTCTCCCCCAACGCTAGGATAACTGGCTGCGTCCTGCTTGCATAAAAGCCTCCGTTTGATTCCTGCTGTTTGGCAGGGCCTGGCGCTGACTGGACTTCTGGCCTGCGTGGCCCAGCTGCCATGGCTTTTGGCACCGGAGCTTACAGGCTGCTGCGAGTTGTGAAGAAAACGTTGCAGCGCTAGGGATTGCCATCGCGGGGCGCTTGGTGGGCTGTGTCTTAAGGTGACGCGACGGGGGTTGCTGCATGGGCTTCGCGTGCGCGCGTGTCGTACGTTTGCTACCCCGAAGCGAGCTTCAGTGTTTCCTAGCTGACCTTGATCACATGAAGATTCAAGCAGTCGCACGCTGTCACTGATTGGTTGCAGCGAGCGCCACTAGCCACTAACGTGACTAGACGTGACGAGCTCGCTGCTTTGCCTGCCTTGATTATTACTGTTGTTATTGCTACTATAGCCTTAATAGTACTAATGGAAAAGAAAATGGAAACTACAATAGTGATAATGGAAAAGAAAATGGAAACTTCAATAGTGATAATGGACAAGAAAATGGAAACTAGTGCGCAGGCGCGCCGCTTGTGCTGGCCTCCGGTCCGCTGGGTCTTGGGGGCTATCTAGGATCCCTCGGCATCTTCTTGCGGCAGTACTATGACTGCCTCATACCATACGTGTCTCGGACTTCGAAGTTAACAGCTTGCAGATCCATTTTACTGGTTGTCACTAGGGAATCTGGGATTGTAATATGATATAACAGAATAATATTGAGTACAAGACAGGATAAGATAATATCATATCCATATTCTATATTCCCTTATTCCCCTACTAACCCCCGGTAAGCCATGTTTTGGGCCAAGTTGGAGCCACGCTGCGAAGCCCAGGTCTGGCCCATCACTTACTGCGGGATCTTCATGTTTGTCCTGGTCTTTGTGATGTCCTTCCTCAATCACGCCAAGGACGTGCTTCAAGGGTTTTTGTGTGTGTGTGTGTGTTTTTTTTCTTCTGTGGGTGTGTGGAGTGAAAAGCCTGCAAGAGATGCGCTATGACAGCTTTCAGGTATATTGGGGTTATATCGTAGATAACAAAAGAAAATGGAAACTATTAAATTGTTGGGATCATACTGGGGTTATGTAGGGATAATGGAAAAGAAAATGCACCTGAACGCGACATGCTGGACCAGGACTTCTCCGGCTTTGCGCCTCGTCTGAGAACATGATTCGTGAGGCTCCGCATACTGTGCCGTACGCCTAGGTGCCTGGTGTTTTTTCATTGTGGAGACTCTAATTACCAATATAAAGTAAGATTTACAACCTCCTCCCAGTATGGTACCTCATAAGAATTTAATATAAGAGAAAATGTTCATTCCTCTTGGTGCAACCACGAAGAAATTGCTACCCAGGCGAAGATGATGGAGGCCTTTGGACTACCATGCCCGGCCTTCATGGCTGCTGGAGGCCTCTTCTCTCTCCTCGCTGGTTCCTTGTGCTACCTCACAGGCCCGAGAGACTGCTGCCACTGAGTTTAAGGTTTAGAATCCCCCTTAAGTAGATTCACTATGGCTCTGGGTATATTGTAATAAGATCCCCATATACCCCATATTCTATATACTTAGTTTATAGTCCCCCTTAAGTAGATTCATTATGGCTTTGGGTATATTGTAATAAGATCCCCATATACCCCATATTCCATATACTTAAGGGGGACTAATAGGGTTTGGGGTAGTTGGAAGTGTATCAATGTTACCACAGGAATCCCGGTCTTGATGGAGTGGGGCGCGGAGTTCCTCTTCATTTTCCTGATCCTTGGCTGAGGCAAGATGGGGATTTCCTTAAATTAGGGGTACCTTTTTGGGGGTCCCCATTATAAGGATTGTAGTATATAGGGGTCCATATTTTGGGAAACTACCAGATGTGGGGTCTCTTGCGATGTTGTCTGGTTCCGCTGCCGCTGTCAGCTGGAAAAAAATCTTTCAGGGCCTTGCAGTTTTGTTGGGACACCCCTAACCTTGAAGTGCACTTCACTCACAGACCGGGTGTACGAAAGTCCACTCTGCTCTGTCATGAACTCTGGATCTGAGGATAGCATCTACATATTTCGGGCACTACAAACCTTGGAAGCAGTCCCAGGAAATGAATCACTTCATAATGGTCCTGAAGAATATCGGTCTATGTGGACACTGCCTGCTGACCATCGGCTTCGAGGTGCCGGAGATCGGCAAAGACGGAACCCCTTTGGGCCTGCATGGAGCTTTGGGCTCCTTGGGGGTTTTCTTTGGGAAGATCTATGCCCTCTTCCGGCCATATTCCTATGTCTTCAAGTACTCCGGCTTGGTCCTCTTTGTCACGCCCTTCCTGTTATCGTTTCTGAATCATGCGCAGGATACCAAGCAGTTTGTTCCAGCCTTGGTGGTCATTGCATTGTTTCTCCAGTACCGTAGGATACCGTAGGGTAGGTAATTTCCGGGAAAGGGAAGAGTCTGTGTGCCTGGCAAGGTTGGAATGATCATGGGGTTTGGCTTTGGCCGTGCCATGGCAACATTCCTCGCTGTCTTCAGCTTGATTCTCCTCTTCGTGTCTTCGCTCTTCTACGTGAGCGGAGTTCCAGTGTTGATGGAAATTGGGGCAGAGGGCCTCTTCACATTCTTGCTCTTCGCGACCTACTTTGCCCATGTCAGGCCCTACCGGCAGACAGGACGAAGGGTTTGCCGGATCTCTTAACTCCCCCCAGCTCGTTTTGTGATGCATGTATAAGCCAACCCGACCTTTTTGCCAGGAGATATAGGTCACTTCTTGCACATCCTCAAAAACATCTCTCTGGCCGGGGCTTGCGTAATGACGATCGGCATTGTCATTCCCCAGATCGGTGCATCATGACGCAAAAGGGCTGGCAAGCCCAGGCAAACTTCTATATGGACGCTCCCAAAGTTTGACAGCACAAGACCTGTCAGGGCGTGATGTTTCTTACCAATTGCACGCCCTTACCCGCCAAATCCTCATTGGGCAGAGAAGCGCGGCAAAGCCCCGCCAATGCAGCATGTTGGAAAGATTTCAAGTGCGCGTTGCTGAATCGATTCGAAACAGATGCGACATGATAGAATCGCTATATATACACCTCTTGGACAGTAGTTTCAATTTCATTTTCCGTTTGTTCTCAAATATCCATATGTAGAGGCAGGCGCGCCTCATTGTCAATCACACTAACGCTACTCATAATAACAAAAATAACGGCAAGACATGGTTGCGCTGTCCTCAAGATGGCAGCAACTGATACACAGGAGCGTGTGGGTGGCCTGCTGGTGGACGCCATCAACCTCCAGGCACCCATCATTACCCAATATGGTGTAAGATAGTATATTGGGGTTATATTGGGATTATGGAAAAGAAAATGCAAATTACTACATTATGGAGGTTATACTGGGGCTACAGTGCCGGGCATGGCTGCTCAAGTGCCTATATTATTGCAGGTTGATAGTAAACTCCGCTACTTTGCATATCATTTTCGATTCTCCTTTTCATTCCCCCTATATGACCCCGATATTACCAACGTATACATGTGTATATATATATAAATAACCATCAATAATAGAGTAGTGTCCATCTTGTTTCCATATGAGCTATTGTCAATACTGGGGATACCAAGGGACCATTAAGGGTGGACATAAGACTCTCTTTTGTAGTTTAGTATAGTCCCTAATATATTCCCTAATAAGGGCCCATGTCCAGTAGCTGTATAAGGAGTATTGACAGTGGCTCATATGATCTTTCTTTTTCGGGTGTAATGGCCCTATAAATCCAGTATTGCCCATATACAAGCCCAAAACCTTAAACCCCTAAACCCTGAACCGAAAACCTTAAACCTTAAACCCTAAACCCCGAAAACCTTAAACTCCTAAAATCTAAAACCCCTGAACCGCTAAACCCTAAGCCCTTAAAGCCCTAAAACCCTAAACCTTGCTTTGCCCGGCCAGTCCTCGCGGGATGCTGCTGCTCTGTGGGCCTACGATTTGGTGATGCGCGAGGAGCACTTCAAGATCCAGATTTGGGGATTTCCCAAAATCAGGCGTACCATTTTGGGGGTCCTGGGGTCACCTATTTCGGGGAAACTACCATGTATGAGCTGGGTTGAGCCATCACCCGGAGAGTAAGCTCATCCTCTTGACAGGCCATGGAACGAGTGAAATACTGGGGAAAGAGCAAGAAGCCATTAGCGAGAGAGGCTGGGGAGGGGTCCGGATGAGCGGAACTTGAATCGAAAGGAAATCCGCCAAAAGATCCAAAAGCCGATTGCCAAAAAATCACGGTTTCGCACACATTACCTAGTGTGGTGGGCGACCCTACTGCCTTTTGGAGCCTTGGCACACTCAGCAATTTGCAGATGCTTTGAGTGGTGCGCTGGCAGTGTCGACTTTCGGCGCAGGACGTCACTGAAGGCTTTCGAGACCTGGTTGTGGCGGCCCTGCAGCAACATCTACGCGCTTGATGCATCTAACCATGTGTAGCTCAGCCTGGCCATGTCTTTTGGAGAGTCAGAACATAAGTATAGTCCCCCTTAAGTAGATAGAATATGAGGTATATGGGGATCTTAATATAATATACCCAAAGCCATATTCTGTCTACTTAAGGGTGACCATAGGGGATGCAGTTCTGTGACAAGATAACAAGCAGCTGCAGCCAAAAAGCACTGAGATGCCAGGATGGATGCCGTTGTGGATGAAGCGCAGCAGTTGGCGGTACAGGCCGACCTGGCAGAAGTCCTTCAAATTAAACGTATATGGGGAGTTCCCAAAATTAGGGTCCTATTTTGGTACCTCTAAATACTACGTAGGTGCCATGATGTAGTCCATAACCAAAAGGGGCCCGTATTTTGAGAAGGTCCCATAAGAAATTACACATGAGAGAGGTGGTGAACAGAGTCCTCTCTGACGAAGGCACCATTTTAGAGGCTGGCTCTCAGAATAGAAGGAGCACCGACCTAGCAAGTGTTTTGTTTTTCTGAAGGCCAAGAAGGTGCTGCGCGATGCCCTCGAAGATCAGGAGTTGCGCAACTCCGCCAAGGCCTGCGGTTGCTTGGCCTTGCAGCCACATGGTGCATCCAGTTGAACTGTAGGAGTCTTTGTGGAGCATCGTCATTCCTTGGGGTTCGAGATCAAGCCCTTCCCCAAGCGCAGAAGCGCAGAACTACACTCCATGCAGCTTCGCAGCCTCGCAGCTCCTATCAGCCTCAGGTCCCGACGAAGTGAAGCGTGCTGTGCGGCTGGCAGAGGTGAGCCAGTTGCTGAGGGCGTGCTGTGCGTGCTGCGCTGGGCAGAGAAGAGAATGGGGCTATATCGGGTTAATATTGGGATCATGGAAAAGAACATGGAAACTACTATATGATACATTGGGGATATATTGGGGATATATTGGGGTTATATGGGGATAATGGAAAATAGAATGGAAACTACTGTAGTATATAGGGGTTTATATAGGGGATTCAGGAGCTAGCATCGCTGCCGGCGCTCAACGACGATGAGCGGGCCAGCCTAAAGTGCGAAACCTGGCCTCTTTGACCTCTCAAAAGCATTGGGGGATTGCCCTAAATTACTGTCAATACGGGGTCCTATATTTGGGTTCCTATTATAATAGGGGTCCCTACATAAATTTTCCCCCACTTTGGGAACAGTAATTTAGGGAAACCTCCATTGGTCATTCTCCAGCAAGGTCCCTACAGATGCGGCTGAAAGCCGAGGGCCGAAAAGGTCACCAGACAGAGTATGCTTGGAAGATATACTATAGTAGTTTCCATTCTATTTTCCATTATCCCCATATAACCCCAATATATCCCCAATATATCCCCAATATATCATATAGTAGTTTCCATTTTCTTTTCCATTATCCCAATATTGAACAGCCCTGCGCTGGGCGCCAGGCCCCACTCCGGAGGCATCTGACCCCAAGAAGGGACAGCGAGCTGCAGAAAAGAGGACTCCTCGTCACAAGTTCTGCATACTTCTTGCATAGGCACAAGTGTGTTTTGAACCAGGACGGACGCCGCAGAGAAGGCAGAGGCAGCCTCTGCAGAGGCTCTGCCCCTGCGCAAGAAGCATTCGAGAACTGGCTGATTTCTCGCTACATCGCAGGCTCAGCCACCAGCTGCAGGGCCTAAGGAAGAACAGCCTGCACAAGAAGTGAAGCAGGCCCCAGTGGCTTGGCCAACAGAAAGAGAGGGCACTGCATTCTTTGGTGCTGTGTGAGGTCCGTCCTTTGGAGCTGACAACAACGCAGCTCAAGGCACTGAAAGCCCCGGAGACTGCTCCAGGCGGGCCCCTAGGCCCTCCCCAGAACGTGGTGTGTTTGAGATTCTCTGACAGATGTTGGGGAAAACAGTCAAAGGTGACAAGTGTTGTCTTTCGCAGGTGAAGATTTGCCCTCCACAGCGCTGGACAAGGATTTCAGTACCAAAATCTTGAAGCACATGAGCCAAGCTGTGCGGTTGCTTCTCCAAACCTGTGATTTGTGTTATTCCTTTCATGTGACGGGCAATCTTATCGGGAGCCTGCCAGTAGCAAGTCCTGAGGACAGCACGTGTGTGGACTGTGTGGATCTGAAGTGTTCTGTCACATCCCTTTGCAGGAAGACGTGCGCAAGGCTGAAGACCGGCAAGCGCCGTGATGATCTGCCAGAAAAGCTCCTGGCCTCGAATATGAACCCTAATCCCTATAGTTTCCATTTTCTTTTCCATTATCCTTCTATAATCCCTATATAACCCTGTATATTTTGGGAAACTAAGGGTCTGGCCTCGAAGAATATCTTTGGCCATCTTGGACCGTGCCGGCCGGCAAGGAGAGCGTCACCTCAACAGTTGAAGATTCGTGGCAAAGGGGGTTGCAGAGATAGCCAGAAGAACGTGGTATCGCCGTGGCCAAAGCGCGCGAGCTTAGCCCAAAGAAGGCGAATCGAAGGAACAGAAAGGGTGCAAAGTATACTGCGCCCTTCATAGTTTGATTCGCGGTCCGAAGACAAAAAGCAAGGGACTGGCTGATGGATCCACGCACAGGGCGTTTTGGACTTGGTCTCTGGGTCAGGACAAATGACACTGCAGCCTCGGCTTCAACAGAGATGAGCAAGTTATAGCAAGTTACACACAGGTGTCCAGTCCTGGCAGCGCAGCCAACAACCGAGAGCATGTCACTGGATGGAGAGGTGAGAGCAATGCTTTAGGACACGGGGAGCATCAAGTCAATAGCTGCATATGGAGGGCTGACTGCATAGTGGCCTTCTTGCCTGAAGCACCCGAGAGCCATGATTGCGGAACCGCATGATGACTTCGATATGCTTGAAAGACGATTCGAGCAGAGATATGAAGTGAAGAGCTGAGAAAACCTCAGAGGCGCTGAGAGGCCGGGAAGTTGCACGTCCCCACCTCAGGTCACTGAGCCGAAGGCTCTCGGCGAGGGAACCTACGGCAAGGCTTGAACTTGTTCAGGGTAGACTTGGAGATTCAAGGATTATAGCAAGTGCTTCTGAGAATATCTGAGAGGTCTACAAAGCTCTCAGCAGGCAGAGCAACCAGGCCCGAAGATCTTGCAACTCTCAGAAGCTGGCCCCTACCCATGGATGTCATCGTTACTTCAAAGAGCTTTGTGACGGTGCAGGCTGTTGCCATCAAGAGGATCAAGCTCAATCCCGAGGATGACGAGGGAATTCCGCCTGGGTCCCAGTTGTGATAGCAAACCGCCCAAAATGTAGCGTGTTGATTGTGGGATAAATGCCTACCTGTCAAGGAGCACAGCTCTTCGCGAAATTGCAGTGCTGAAGGATGTAGCTCCAGAATCTTTCCATGCAGAATGATGGCGATGATCTACCTCCTCACTTTTTTGCAGCAGAACCTTGCACAGGAGCTGGACAGTGAGTACGTAGTGAAGCTGTTTGAGGTGAGCTGCCCTGCGTTTTTTTTTCTCAGCCGACAGCAAGGGGTCTTGTTTGAGATGATCGTTTCCGATGTTTCAGTCCACAGGTGTTCTGCTCTCCCAGCAAGCTGGTACTCGTCTTTGAGCTGATGGAGAACGACCTCAGAAAGTGCCGCCGGTGGTGTTTGGCTTCAGCTCTTGCTGACGTTGAATCGCTGCATTGAGGTACATGAAGCAGGTCAATGGAAAGATTCCCCCGCCTTCAGCTAAGCTCTCCACCTTCCAATAGAGCCGTGGGCTTCAGCTCGGATTCTATAGGGATTATACTGTAGAGACTATTATACTATAGGGGTTATATAGGGATTACATAGAGATTTAATTCCTTATTCCCTATCCCAACCCTTGGCTCAGGCCTCGCGTCAGGAGTCTTTGCTGGCAGATGGTCAAAGGCCTCGAAATTTGTCACGTGCCTTGGCTGGAGAAGCAAGCGGAGACTTCGCTCATGGCTGTGGCAAGTGTTGAAAGTTCATCTCGAACCGAGTGCGTCTGCACCCTTGTCTCGAGGCCAATCGTATCATACATCGTGACATCAAGCCCTGGCCTCTGAATGTCTTTTAGTCAAGTCTCGAATTCTCACCGACAGTGTACAAAGGCCGCAGAACCTCCTGATAGATGGAAACCACCGGCTGAAGCTGGCAGACTTTGGTCTCGCGCGGGCTTTCCTGGTGCGCCTCCAGCAAAAAGTGGGTGGAGCCTGGGTGGAGCTTGACACAAAGTAGCCTTTTGCAAGGTCCCGCTCCCAAAGTACACTCACGAGGTAGCAAGCCGATCCACATTGCGCATCACTCATTTCTTACCTGCGACGGAGGTCGTCACGGTATGGTACCGGGCACCGGAGATCCTGCTAGGATCAGCGCCGCTCTAAGCCTCTAGGAGCCTTGTGCTAGTTTGCCCACATGAGTTGTCCGGCTGCGAGGGTGTCTACAGCCTTGGCGTGGACATGTGGGCGGTCGGTTGTGTGTTTGCCGAAATGGCGACAGGCCTGCTTGGATGCGTAGCATCGGATGGAATTCCAAAGCAAACTCTGCAAAGCACCATGCTCACCATGGCAGCTCTCGCAGGTCGACCACTTTTTCAAGGAGACTCGGAGATTGACACTATCTTCAAGGCCTGAATCTGCGACACAGCTGTGCGTGCCACATGTAGTTTTGAGGAAATATCATCACGACCAGGTGGTAAAACTCACTGGTAGTCATTTCTCCCTGACGGGGGATAGAGAAGTCGGTCTGGAAAGGACCAGATGAGTGCCAAAAATGCAACAGTCGCCGATGTCATGCCCTAAAAGCGTTAAACCCCAAACCTAAACCCTAAACCCTACAAACGAAGACCACGCACATGGTGATGGGTTTGTGTTTTTGGTCCTCAAGAACTGTAGGTCCGATGGTAGGGTTCAGCGGATACATGTTGACTTGAAATGTCATGGTTGCGCCAACTTAGTTGAGCAATAGTACCTGGCTCTGACATAGTGAGTGGCAAGGCCAAGGGTTTAGATGTTGTTTCTTTGATCCCTCGCCCGCTAGTAAGATCAGATCCTCTGGTTACACACCTCCATTCATGGAGGACTGCTCACCGAGTCCTTCAGCTTGGCTTGAAAACTCGCAGCCCAAAAGCCTTTGTACAGAATGCCCAACATGAGCCCCAAAGATTCGGCCCGCTGGCTGGAAGAATACAAGAAAGTCCTGAATGTGGCTGGCAGATCTTCCAGAAGCTGGGCACGCCTAGTGAGACAGTCTGGCCCGGAGTTCAGGATCTTCCGAAGTGCACGTCTCAGAGTGAGCCTTCGACCAGACTCAGGGACAGCCCTTCCTCCTGTCTTTGCTGGGCTGGGTAGGCCCCTGGGATATTTGATATTTTCCCTAATGGCTTTAATAGGGGACCCTATATTTTAATATTTTTGAAAGGGTTTTAGGGGCCAACCCGGTGGGTAGAGGGAGTTTGTAAAAGCGTTGCACGCTCGCATCCTGAGCTTTGCCTTGGTGCCCGCTCAGTTTCAAAGCCAACTTCCCTCAGTGGAGACACAAAGGCGCGACCGCACGGAATAGTAGTTTCCGTAGGTAGTGGGAACCCAATACATGGAGACCCCTCAAAAAGGTAAGCCTAATTTTGGGAACCCCCCGAATCTTGCCATGACATGACCAGCATTTGCATTGATTGCCTGCCACCTGCATGGTGGCTGTTGAGGCACGGCTGTTCTTGTAAGAGATACGGAGCTCCCCACAGAACGGCTACCCAAGAGACCCTTAAGTATCCCTTACAATGCACAATCTGTTGAAACCCTGAACACACAACACGCTATGGGATGCAGATGATTCAGTGTCTCGTTTAGGGGATGGACCTCCCTGAAAGCTCCAAACCATACCTCGGAGGTTGGGAAAACATCCGCACCACCAAGGAGAAGGCAAGACAGACATAATGGGGTTTAGATAGGGGTTATATAGGGATAATGGATAAGAAAATGGAAGCTACTATAATAAATTAGGGTATATATAGGCCACGTTTACAAAAAGGGCCCTTAGACTAAAGATCACGGGAATCTTGGTTGAAGTGTAGGTAGGTGGCTCCTCTCATCGGGACAAATTGTCCTTGAATACGCCGAGCGTGATTAGGATACCAAAACAGCTGCTTTTGAGACCATCAGGTGGGTGACAGTGGCATTGATCTTCTGGAGAAACTCCTTGCATATGCGCCCAAGCAGCGACTGCTCCTCGTCTCGCTGAAGGTGTCAGAGGTTCGTGACAGGCTTTGTCTGCGGAATTATCCATAGACTTGAACATTTCACTTTTCCATGACAGAGAGGGTATGATGATGTATGATGCATTACCTCTTCAATCCCGTATAAAGTCATGAGGAGCGCGCGCAAGGGGCTGGAACACCCCTACCTGGCAGACTTCGTGCCCGGGTCACCCAGCCTGATGCCGCAAACTGATGTTGTTACTAGACCTTGTATGATTGTTCCAGCGATGGTTGTCATCGCCATCAGTTGTATCAATTTTTCTGCTTTGCTATGACAGAAAATAGTCATTATGTTCATCCTGCAACTACAGATTGGGTTAGTGACTAGTGTGGTGCATCTTCCTTGAACAATCCTTGTGCGCGTGTATGCTGGACATGAAGTTCAATTTGTTTGGCCTAGTCCATGCCTGATTGGTTCATATCTGCCCAACACACTGCAGAAGACTTGTGGAGTCGCACTGCACATCCAATCCTACCTGAACTGGGACCTAGCACTGCTGGCAGGCCTTGAGGTTGCCATTGGATGCCGCATTCACATTGCACTTCGTGAGGCCATCGCTGCAAGAGAGACTTAGATAATGGCAGCCCGTAACCTGGAGAGCTTGGATGCCAGTCTGCTTCGAGGCATCACTGACACTTGCTGAGCCTGCTGCGCGCAGGGCGTGATGAGCACTTAATTACAAGGATGGTGACATTGTTTTGGGATCTTGGCGGCTATGGCTGAACTGAGCCAGAAACACTCCCGAAGCACAGTTATGGGCAAGTCGTAGCGACAAGAACACTGCAGAAAAGGAATACTGGCCGAAGGTCTTCAAAACGTTTGTCCTTAATTCGATGATTTGGCTAGAGGTCACTGCAAGCCGGTGACATGCAGTTTGTGTGATGGGCAAGGTAGTATTGATGTTCAGTCTGAACCTCTACCGGCTTGCGAGTGTATGGCACTGTCTGGGGATGTCACATGCTTGCGTCAACTGCAAAAAGATGAGATCTGTCCATTGCGGAGAGGGTGAGACCTGTAATGAAGATTGGCGGAATCGGGCCGCCGTTCAAGTTGTGGAGCATCCGCAGGAGTACGCGATGCATTGTTCACAGTTTCTGGCACTAGAGCTGTGCGGCAAAGGGTGGAAGCCTCCCGACATTCCATGCGCACAGGCAGCTTAGGTTTCAGAAGTTTTCGTCTGCTGCCTTGGGCTCTTAGCGGTTCTCAGTGATAGCAGAGATCTTGTGGTGCCTCTGCCCACTTCCACGACATGGGCAAGCCGCGTGGGATCCGATGTGCCCGTAAGTTGAGGGTTCACCGAAGGGAGGCCTTGTGGGCGGACAAGGACGGCACATGGCCGCCAAGCATGCTCATGGTAGTTAGCTCCGTTGGAGCTTCTGGAAAGTTGTGCAATTGGGTGTGTGGCAGGACTACAAGAAGGCCAACCTCGGTACCAAGTACAAGTGCAATCCTTTCGGAGGCACGCCGCTGGCAAGGAACTTGATGGGTCTCGCTGCTTCACTGCCCAGCTTGGGTGAACTTGTGCAGGCACCTCCCACGCCAAGGGCATTGTCGTTGAGAAGATCGGCATCGAAGCAAAGCAGCAGCAAGGTTGCATTTAGCAGCCGTCAGGCGGTCATGTTCGTCGCACGTGCTGCAAGCCTTTGCTTTGCAACGTTGTCTGGCGCCTTTGTGACGTAGCAGCTGACGCTAAGGCCGAACTCAGCCATCCGAAAGTGCTGCCGTAGCTACCTTACTTAGAGAGAAAATGCGAATGACTGACTGGCGCCTTTTCGTTCCAGGAAACGATTTCTGCCATCCCCTATGTCCTTTTAGAGTCGTGTTGGTACTCACCGCCATCCGACTTCTGGCTCTGCTTGGTCATGAGGTGTGCAGTTGATCAAGAACGGAAAGAAGATTGCGGCATTCGTTCCCAGGCCACTCGCCATCTTGACCTGATCGCTGTCCACCTGCGGATCTTTGCACGCATCATGACCTTGAAACAGGGATGGCTGCCTGAACTTCATCGATGAGAACGACGAGGTGCTTGTGTCCGGCTTCGGTCGACGGGGTCACGCTGCCGCCATCTCAAGAAATGCAAGATAAAACTCTAAGTGAGTTATCTTCTGTGTGAATATACTGGCAGTGCCTGTCAGCAGAGGTCGGTGATATTCCCGGTGTGCGCTTCAAGGTCGTGAAGGAGGGATCTGCAGCCTGCAAGGGTGTGAGGGGTTAGCATTCCTGATGCACCGCCAGGTTGCAGGCTGCGGCCTGGGCGCCCTGTATAGGAACAAGAAGGCCAATCTGACATGCCAACTCATCTTGCGTGCATCTGCGCAGGGCAGGCAGAGGTCAGTGCCATGTGCACCTGCCAGGAGAAGCCGCGATCATAAGCGGCTGTGGCGAGAGTTCTGACTGCGCAGGGTGGACACTAGAGTCATCTGCTTGTGTGAGACAAAATGTAGCAAGTGCGGCAAGAAGATACTGTGACAATTTGCAACATCGTCTGAGACTCCATTCCCTTTTGCTTGATCTGCAACGCTGTCATGGTTTTCATTTTTCGTTCATCTTTTTTTCCCAAGTTTTGAGCCTTATCATTTTGTTATTCCACATCGTTTTTCAACCAAAGCCCGCATTCGGCATTTCGCGGCTTGCCTGGACATATTCCTTTGGCGCGGGGTCAAGATAAAACCCTTGCAGCGTTGCTGCATTGCCAGTTAAGACCATAATGATAGTCAGCCCTTGCTGCTATTGACCAAGCAAACTACGCTCTTTGCAGCGAAGAGCCTGCGATCTTGCGTAGGGCATCACACTTCGCACAGGTCTAGAGTCTAGAGTTCTGCGGCCCCATCCCAGTGCCTCTACAAGATATCGCTAACCTTGGAGTGAGCATTGCGTTGTGTTTCTGCGGACAGATGCCATGCAAGAAAATAACATCTTCGCGATACTCGCGTGGATCGTCATGTGCTGGATCAAACGACGGAAGCAGTGTCCAAATCACATCCCTGTGATCATGGGATATCATGGGTTGTGCCGCCGGCGCAGCTCCGCCAGACTCCGAAGTTATGGTTCTGGATCGATTTGTTCACTCGCAGACGCGGTGCACCCTTTCACTCCTCGTGAGCCCGGAGTAGCGTTGCTGGGTCTGTTACTAGTGTGGACCACAAGGATTGCACACTGGCAGCCGTGTTCCCGGTGCAGCTCGCGCGGAGTGGGGGAGGATACCGCAGAAGGAGAACAAACACACTACAGCATGATGAAGAAAACCATCTGAATTCCAGGGCGATCGGAGACTAAGAGAAAGAACCCGGTAGACTAAAGACAAACACCCCAAGCCCAAGGACAGGGAGGGAAAAAAACCAAATGTATAAGACAAAACAGCCTTTGATACATTCATACATTCATACAATTATACAGTTAGACATTTACCTCTACACAGGAGTACTTATATGTATATGTGTATAGATGTAAGTGTACAAGTAGATTCGGACATACACGTTCATACGTATACCTTCATACGTATATCTCGACGTACCTGCGTTCACACATTCATGCAGTCATACGTTCATACACATTCACACATTCATACAGTCATACATTCGTTCATACATTCATACATGCATTCATTCATACATACACTCATACATACAAACAAACAAACATACATACATTCATTCATTCATTCATACATTCTCATTCGTTTGTTCGTTCGTTTGTTTGTTCGCGCATTCATGTGGATTCGTGGGTTCACACAGTCGTGCACATACAGTCTTACATGCGCGTTCATACTGTAGGTATACATGCATACATTCATATACATTGTTGCATCTACATATGTACAGGTATATGTGCAGACAGGTGCACCATTGCCGTGGATACCCCAGACGTGCGTCGATCTCGTTTGAAGGTTTGGCGCAGGATTTTTAAAGGGCATTGCATTCGAGGGGTTCAACCAAAACACAGCCATGGTGTAGATTTTGCTCTTCTCAATGTGGAAAGCATGAATATGTGTTGTTTGCACTGCTGGCTTGCACGCTGAGCATTTTGGCTACCCAAATTTATTGAAGTGACTGTTGCTCCTTCGGGCGCATCTGGCAATTGGTGGTTCGGCAGATTGTTGAGTCCAAGATGCTAAGGCGCGGATCTTGGAATTCAGTCCATTTCATGTTTGCAGAAGACTTCGGATTGCCCACTGCAACTTGGCCACGTAGAGCCCTGCACGCCGCATGTTCCAGGCCTGCTAACTACAGCACAGAGGTGGAGTCCACCTGGCAGGTGCAGTCCGTTGAAGACTCCAAACATGGAACTCATGCTTGAGGTATGCACGGCATGTCCCCGGGATCTATACAAGAAATGCTGAGGAAGGATATCCTGGAAGCAGTGGCGGTGCGAACATGCGTAGCCGGCATAACTCTTTGCATCTCTTTGCCAATGATGCGTCATGAAGGCGGCGGGTCTCTCTGCTGGACAAGAGAACGTGTGGCCCTTAGCCCGAGAGGTCGGCACACAGCCCGGAGTGCCAGACAAGTGGGTGAGTGCAAATTTCTCTTTGCACGTCACCTCTCAGATTGATGCCTGCTTCGGCCAGTCAGGATGCCCTGAAGGACAGAGATGTGGACAAGAAGGCCAGGGAAATTCAAGCGCATGTGGGCAGCCATGCTGCGGGTGACTGCGCTGCTGAGGTGGCTTTTGCCGACAGTGTCGGACATGAAGCCCCGTCCGCGTTTCCAAGTTGCTTCCTGAGCGGAGCGCAGGCCTGGCAGCCAGGGCAAGTCTTCGTTTGCAAGAGCACATCTTGCCGGCCAGGGGGGCGCGCCTCTTTTCAACCTACCATCAGGGCGCTGCAGGCAGGCTCCCCCAACTACTTATCTCTGCTTATCAATTTATGCTGTTGGTCTTCGTCCGTGGGACATTTGACAGGGCATCAACAAGTGTTAAGCTTCAAACACTACCAGTAGATGAGATCCTATTTTATGGCTTCGGAGGCCTGGTGTCTGCGTGAGCATGTTCGGAAGTTTTCTGCACAAAAGCGATGTCCAAGTTGGCATCTGAAGATAGGACGCTTTGAAGCCATGAAGTGGTGTAATATTAGCTAGCGTTCCGCTTGCATGGGTGCAAGGTTACTTGTATGTTTGTAAGCCAGGCAAGCCGAAGCTGGCCAGACGGACGACACTAGGCAAATCTAAGCAACAGAAACATCAAGCGAAGCGTTGTGCGGGTAAGGACAAAACTCAGATCATCGACTTTTATTGAAGATCTCCGCATCGCGCTCCATGGTATGAAAAACAAGTCTGGGCACGAAAGCGGGTTCTCGGGCTCGCAGTTCCACCTCAGAGTGGACGAGAATCCGGTGCCCTGGTCACAAAACTACACAACCTCGCGCCACCATTTCCAAGCCGAACAGTTGCATAATCAAATTTCAGTTTTGCAGAACGCGCAGAGTTACATCCACGGCTGGAAGATATGGGCCCCTTCACGCGAGATGCCAATCGTTTGATGCAACCCCTGTTGCTCATATTGCGCAGGGATGC